TTTCATGCTTTTTTGGATTACACAAACGTGTTTAATTTTGTTGACACAAACATCCTATTGACACTGTTACAGCAGCATAATCTCCCGCGACATCTTTTGAATTGGATTCATGACTACGAGCCCAATTCACTTGTCTCAATGATATGAGGTCTTCCACAGTTACTGAAAACCAGGGTGTAATGCAGGGTGCAATTTTATCCCCTTTTCTGTTCTCCTTTGATATCCAAAATTTGCCAATCACCCCAAATGTTTTCACTTTTAAATATGCATCTCACAACAACAACCCTTCAACTAACCTCCTTCAATCCACCGTAAGTTCCATTTCTGAATGGTCCGATGGTGTTAACCTTTCTTCAAACTCCAATAAATGGATTGAAGTTTTGTTTTCCATTGACCGTAGGCCAACTCTTTCTGGATCATCTGTTCCCAACAAATTAATCAATAACTTAAAAGGTCATAACACTTCAAATACCTTGAATGTTTCCCATCTGCTNACGTAACACAAACATTTCTAAAAGTCAGAAAATTGACCTTTTATATCTCTCGCCTTCGGGATCTAAGGGTGCCGTTGCACATCTTTTCTAAATTTATTTTCTCGGGCATTTTATGCCATTGGACCTACTGCTCTCCCGTTTTTTCACCCGGTCTACTGTCTAAGGATTTCATATTAATTAGGAGCTCTCTGAAAAGCATCTCTATAGATATGGAGCTGTATCTTATGAGGAACTGGTTGATTCCATTGTCAACCAACACGTGAAGGCGTGTGACTCTATCTTGTGCGATGTACCACATCCTTTACACCAGCTTCACTTCAACTTGTCACCCGCAACAAATTTAAACCTTTAAGTACTCGTACCACTGCTTTTCACAACTCCGCTGTACCTTACCTTTTCACCTTTGTTGATTTCCAGGGAACGAATATCAAACGATCTTATACACAGTCCAACGTAAATTTTCATTTACGCGTTCTCAGTGTCCCTTGCACTATCATCTGAGTAACTACTTGTCATATATTGTATGTCAAAGCAAAAGCGATCACATTCTTTTCACTGAAAATTCTGTCCACGTGGGATGAATAATTGCACCAATGGCTTGAGTTGACGCACTTGACACAGACATCCCTCACACGCGACCTTGATTACATTGACCAATCACACTGTAGCACGTGTCTGCTTGTTAGTGATTGGCTGACTGTGATGAATTGTACGGCCAGTACCGGCTGATGACATGCTTTTGCTTTCGTAGATGAATTACAATGCCACCGGTTAGTGCCTAATTAAAAGGATTTACATCTGCGCATAGTACGAGTCCTACTGAATACATGGTGAATATTTCAATGCACAAATGAAATGCGCAGAGAATCAATTGGGAATAAAAAGAATCAAACGCAAGTCAAGTGAAATAGGGTTCTTTCTCTCGCCCGATTGGTGGCCTAAAGATGCGTACACGCAACTACTACTCACATACACCGGAAATAGCATCGTGGTACACTGGGATACTAGGAAGACCCCATCACAATTATCGTTTGCTGCTGTCGGGTGCATTGCATGTGAATACCGCGAAATTTGGCGGTTGGTGCATACATGGATCTAATGCGGTACGATTGCAGCTCAAATGTTGATGGGTACTTCGATTTGGAAGTGTTGGTTGTAGAAATTCCATAGCCAGGTTAGACAATAAGACCAGCGCGATTTCCCCAAAGTCATCGATGACGTCCAGCCTGGCTACAAAGATCTGCTAACAACAATTCCAGCTGGAAGAACCTATCAACATGGACATAACAAATGTAGTTACCGAACATTTCTAGCAGGTCTTCCTGCGATACGATCTGATTGCATAAATATTACAGATAGCCAAAGAACACGAACGAGGATTGTGTATGAGATCGGGTAGATGGAACTCCAGTCCGGGTTCTGGTGAACATAACTTTATACCGAGAAACAAGTTGGGTGTACATTTGGCTCCGGAAATTCATTCAAGCTAGTAGAGAAAACTCATCGTTCGTCCTTTCAGGAAAATCTTTCAGTGTTTGATCGTCACGATCATTGTTAACAAAATACCTTAATTGGCCACTGAATTTATATTGTAGTAAAGTACAAAGTAGTTGAGGTGAATACCTTGAAGGGGAAGAATATGGATAGTCAGGAGTTCACCCACAGAGATTCAATAATGACCGGCCTAGTTGTGATGTTGTAAGTCAAAGTTGTGCGACGTTGCAAACATTTCATCGGTCACCATCCCCCACCGAGATAAGTAGAACATGTGTCGTGCATAACTTTCGATAGAGTAACTGTACAGAGAGTATTGCTAGACATCCCACAATAAATAGATCGTGACAGACCTCTCGGTCGGGATGAAAACCTGACGCACTTAACCGACCGTAGAAGATAAGGCAGACAAATACCACGTACTGTAACACAACATTAGGGTTTCTGATACGCGTTTTATTTGGGTCGAAAGATTCACACGGGCGAGCACAGTAAAAACGGTTAAAACAGCTGTACGACGCATCTCCGCTTTTAAACCCGCATCGTGTGATCTGGATACGACGAACTCCTTTCCGCCATTAGAAGGAAAATCTTTTACTGCTCCTAGTATCCACATATAATTGATCACCTTCGATGTGTAAGACCGATTCTGAAAGGTGAAGCACTGGCCAATGCCCTAAAGAATGGAATCCGAATATCCTCCAAGAAAACGTCATGGAACGGACCGGCCCCATGAAGTTACAGGCTGAACTACTGCGACAGTTACAGGTGGGACTCTGAAGTTTCAAAAGCTCAAACAGAAAAAGATACTTTATCTCATTTGGGGAACTCCTGCCTTCTTATCAAATTCCATCTGCTGTACAACTAACAGCTATCATTTATCGCCCAGGACTGAAACTGGAGACGATTAGAACAAAGCACAATGTCATCTTTAATCCTCTACGTTCGATATCCGGCACCATTCACCTTCGAATGATGCTCAAATGAATATACCTCGCCAATCACACACCGTTATCCAGATCGGACTCCAACCTCGTGCATTACACTTCCGGCCTCTCGGTTTTGTCAACATTAGGATCGCTAGACACATTGTGTTTTAGGGCACAGATCCGGATTCCAGTCAGGTGACTGTGCGCCGATTACTAACCCATTTCCAAGAAAATAAGAGAAGAGATGCTAACAGGTGAAATTTAAATAAGAATTCTGTCTGGGTTCACACATAGTGCCAAAATAATTAGGATACAAAAATCTTAACAACAAAGAATTCCATCCATGGTTTGTTCGCGAGCGGAATGCTGCCAGGTTGTTCAATCCAAAGTTTTTCATTTCACCTTGTGATATAGCCGAGCTTTCTACGTTTTCAGTCCATATTTCATTTGTCCCTCAAGCGACGAAATTCATCAGATAAACAAACTAAATCCCAAATTTGTCTCCTATCAAATGCAATCGGGTTGGAATGTTTGACACCGAATCATAATCCAGGAGGTTGGTGATGAGATCCGATATCTGCATTAAGTTCGAAAAGATGGGTTATGTTATATCGTGCATGGGGAAAATGAAAAACGATCTGATCAGCTGCCCGTTGGTCGAGTGAATAGTATGCTTGCATTACGCCAGTGAGGTCCCGGGTTCGATCGATTCGTACCGCTGAATCGGTAGAATTTGGGTTTTGAGGTGTCCAGTTCATGGAATTGTGCACCTTCCCGATGGGCACCCAATGCACTTCAAAGTGCAAACAAGCCGGTGGTTACCACCACAAACAGGAACATAATGGTATGGTGATGAGGTAATTCTTTCATTGGCTGCGTTGAAATTCGATCTTTTGTTTAACTGCCCTAAGTGAACTTCCAGTGGTTCATCGACCCGCATATTGGTGTTCCGTTCTCTCATCTTAGTTACAAAACACCTTCGTCTCGCGAAGGCAGTGAATAGGGCTCCCCCAGAAGTGAGTATTTGTTACGTTTGGTTGTATAGGAGAATTCTGCGACGTTTAAGGGCAGGTTGATCAGTGACACGCGATCATACTGACTTCGGAGGTGCATTACGTGGTGTAAATTGTCTAGAAGAGAATTTGAATGTTTTCAGTATTTGTACTTGTGCTACTGTGGATACTTAAGTAGTCTGGTTATAAATGACAATATTCAATGACAGCGCCAGTGTTATCTGATGCCTAATGACAGAATTCAAACGATGAATGGTTCTTTGGTCAGAAACGACTAATTATTGTACTTTTCCTATGTTTGCATCTGTACGTTTTCGTTTTACTGCACCACAATTTTACGCGCCGTTCTGTACTGCCAGGTGTGAAATTGGCCTCCGAGGATCGGCATATTTCAAAAGGGCAACGTTGGGGACCGCCAAAACAATCTCTGGCACCAGTTATCGACTGTGGTGCATCACCGAACGATGACTAGAGGAGGAAAATACGTGTAGTCGTTACAGGGGAAACTATACTCATCCCCGCCCACCAGATCCATTTCGAAACGGTATATTGACGGATTTTGAATTGCACATGAGCTGACGGTCACTCTGACGCCAACGAGGGACTAAGTAACAAAACCCTATTCAGAGCCGTTCAACCGGAGAAGCATAAACTGGGGAAGGTAACAACAGAAGTTGGTGCAACAAGCTGAAACGGGAGGAACCAGGATTAGGTCCATGCTGATTGAACAGCTCATCACCCGGTGTATCCGTCAAGGAAATTAACCTAGCAATCCCATAATAATCATCAGTCGTATAAACATGAGCTTAAGAGGTCAATATAATTTTGGAAAACCTTATTAAGAATATGTTTTAAATATAGCTCATCCATGTATACCCATTTAATCACAAAGTAACGAGAATACAATATCCGACGCAGTTCAAAACCCAGCGGTTGGTACGGAGCATTTCTTTTCAAAAAAAGTAATTTAAAGATGAGTATAAAGAGCACAAGATAGTAGGATCACAGACAATGATGCGGAAAAGAAAATGCGAAGGAGAGAGAGAAAGGCAACCGGAACGAGACCATGGTCACGTGCCGTCAACTTCGTCTGAACTTTCCGTACTCAGACCGTCAACCTCGTCCGGGGAGCCACCTACGGCTCGCCACAACTGGAGGGTGAGCTGTAAATAGTAAAGATGAGAAAAGCAACAAAGATTAGACAGAACTAGGCAAGCAATGAATTGCATAGACTAAAGCGATAATTTTACAGTCATTGGCCGTATCCAATCGACTTTTAGTTCACCAAAAAAGCATCACTCGATCAAGTTGAAATTACAGCTGCTTGAGACCATGGTTGGATAAATAATATTCGTTTGAACTGACTGACCACCGGCAAAACTGGACCTGCTGACACCATGATTAGTTCAGTTAGTCAGTTAGTTGAGAAACAATAGACCCGAGTTACGCTCTTGTTAGAGCTCGCCACATAGTACATATCCATTGCTTTATCCGAGATTTCAACTACGGAAGGAAGGTGTGTTATCGTTGTATCAATCAGTTTAAATTCGGGATGAATAAGAAGCGGAAACAAGAGTAATCTAGAGTATTTTTAGAATGGAAAGAACTTCATAGATGAAAAAGAATACTTTCCAAATGAATATTTGCGATTTAATGGCATGACACATTTTGTGGTAGCCCACACCGCTGAAATCTTCAACTTGCAACAGTGAGGCGTAGGTTCAACGCAAGGACGTAGTCAAAACACCTGTGTATGATAGACCTGTCGTCACGTAAAATTCGACAATTTCGGTTTATTTTATTTTGTTCGCGGGCTCGTCGGTCGCCAGTCCATAATTCCAAAGCTGCCCTTATCCTCACAAAGAAGGAATGTGGACGGGAGAGTATTTTCTTCGTTGGAGACTTCTGCCCATCTTCGACGGGCAGAAGTTGTTTCACGAAGTAGGAACAAATCAACCCCACCGTCGGAAGCCCCGACGTCCATGTAATGGGATCTTTGATCGGTAAACTTCTCTCGCATCCATTTGCTGGGTCGACCTGTCCAGGGTGAGATTATATGACCCAAGGAAGTCTGACGCCTAATCAATTGACCTTGTGCGACTGAGATTTGTCTAACCTGTACTCGTATGAAGAGAATAGATCACCACAAAAAACACCTAAACTATCCAGAAAAGCTCGCAAATTATCTGAATCTCCACTCAACAGTACGAGGTGGACTGAGTACTCGGGATCGGATAATTTACCCGGGGAGAGCATACTGATATCAGTCTGTGAGCGAGTAAAATGTGACATCCACTACAAAGATAAGCCTGATTAACATCGCTTTCCCGGATGAACTCGGGCGAAAAAAGTGGTTAGCGGGAAAATGAGCCTCTCCAGCAAACACCCTTAGAAGAGATTAGATAGCATCGGAATAAGTGACCCAGTATTTACTTCGAATCGATATCAACCTTGACAAAGAACCGAATCTCACATAAGTCCAGATGAACAATATCAATGAGATCAGATCTTCACGGATACAACCACGCTTCATTTATCTATTCCCGATCTCCGGAAGAACATGGATTGCATTTGAAAACGATAGACTCACTTTTTCGGCCATTTTGCGTCGAGAAGCATGATCTAACTGACCCACACGCTCCCGTGTAGTCAATATTGCTCGGAAAGCACGCTCAAACGAATCGATAGACTGTTCATCTAACAAGTCCTCCTCTTCCTCCGAATCAGCTGATTGTTCCCGTTCCTGATCTACACCTTTGTTTGTCTGATTCGGCTGATACTCATTCCCCACTTCCGGTACTTTCAGTTTATTCGCCACGTTTCGCTCCTCTGTGCTCTCCAAAGTCGCCGAATCCGTAGGGCTTGACTGATCAGGAGTTTTGTATGAGAACGCATTATCGAGTGTGGCACTTGTGTGCACCACAGATGGATTAAGCTGGGCCAGGACCGGATGCTTGATCAGAGACGGATCTGGAAAGTATGGAGAAACCCCGGCAAAAAATTGAGTGACTATGTTTACGCTTGGATGTCAGAAACCCTATGAAAAATAGCGATATGAAAATGTTTGGCTCCGGACACCTAATTTGTTTATTTGGCGTTCGGAGTTAGCAAGTCATTCGTCACTGCAAACCCGTGGATGTACCTTATGGTAGTTTCATCACTGCTAAGAATCACCCGCATTGCACAAATGAATCGGCTCGAGCGAACGTCACAATTCAGTTTCTGGATGACTGTATCGTGAACCGTGTCTACCCGAAACGTTTGCGCGGTGCAGTTTGTCGCAACCACATCAAACTCTCACATCTAGCTTTCTGTCGACTCACGAAAGAGACTCGTGGGTGAGTTATACTGGTAAGGATGAACTGGAGCGGAGAATGACCGACGATGAGACCGATTGTTTGAGGCGGAACAAACTGAGAACCAAAAGAGTCGTAAGCGTGAAATGAAGCTGCACAGTCAAATTCTAATTGATGATGATGTTGAGAAGAAATTCCCAGTGGATCCTGGTCAGAAAATCTTTTCACGCTGAATTTGGATAAAACCAGATTAGCACTACTGTCGTTGGGGCTTAAATTATCTTGTCCAACGACATTGAAGTTCAGTTTAAAAACTTATCCAGACAACGGTTAAGAATGGATTCATCATCCGGTGTGTTAATGAGGAGAAGATGAAATCCAACTATGCAATCAGTATTTGGAGTCAGACACACGGTGGAAAACGCACCCTGCCTAAGAGGCACCTTGATACGCTGAGAGAATTGAGAACCCCGGATAGAATCCTATCAAAACCAGATAAAAGGTACGGGTATCGTTAATCTGAATCGAAAAGATTAGGTGGATAAAATGCACGTTCAATTTTTTTGAAAAGAAAAACAAATTTCAACACACCGCAAGGAAAAAGACAAAAACCGTGGTGGCCATCAATTTCAAAGATTCTTGGAGAACTTAAGCAGGACGAAATCATTGATCGCTTAACATCTGGTAGAATCTGACCCGTGAGAACGACAATTCCCAGATTGTACGAATTATCGAAGGTGCACCACACAAGACTGTCCACTAAAACCGCTTATGGATACGTGTGATTCATCTTATCAAACGATGCCAAAGTGGCAAAATACTCTCTGCTGGATTTATTTGAAATTTGTGGACTTGACAGAATCATTAGACGCAACAAACAGACCCATGCTCTCGTTTGGTGTCAATTCGCCATTTACGAATGAGCCCTTAAAGGATACAACTGGTTTTTGTGTCTACCTTGAAAGAAAACATATAAATATCGGAACTCCAGCGGATCGCCTAAGGAAACTCCGTTTACAATGCACTTTGAATGTTCCATTTCAGTTCAACGGTAGCCAGTATCAGCAAAAAGATAGAATTGTTATTAGACCACCTGTTGTCGGATATATTCATGACAATGTTAGAGAATGAGACATTGCCCACCTGTATCGAACAGTGTGTCGTAAACAGGCTCGTTTCGCCTATCTGATTTTATTTTCAAGGCGTTATGTTGATAATGTTGTTTGTGTTATTGACAATACAAAAACCCTCAACATTTTTGGACAGTTTTAATCGGGTTCATCGTAACATAGCTTTCACGCTAGAGATAGAATGTTTTTTTTCATACTTACTTATCATGTCGCGAAAATGACCCTCTCAGATAAAACGTTTGCGGAAAGAATACGAGGACGGGACAATACACCACTTATCATAGTTTATCCCTATGCAGCGTAAACGGAGCTTGATCTGGTGAATTGCCCATTGTGTACGAAGATTGGGACTTACCGATGACTTGGTAACAGTTAAGTAGAAGTTCCTAAAAACTTGGATACCCAGGAGAAATTCACGAACGTTGCATCAGAGTCTACATTACCAAACTAAAGGACTCAACAGTAGTTCATGTTTCATTGTCCTTCAAAGGTGACATCCTGGCAAGGACAATCAGCGAACAGCTGAGGGATGTGATCGNATATATATATGATATTCAGTTGTTCGCCGAGTTTGACAAATGTATTGCAAACGTTTCATCACCAATAGAGATGACATTCTCAATGCAGTAACTGGGTGAGCGCTTACGAGTGTCCCCTTCCTTGTATAGGTCATTGAGTGATGTGGCGTTGCCTGATTGGTCAAGGTTTGTTCGCCTTGTGCCG